GCGCAGGAGCGGGCGCCGCCGACCGTTCGGTTCGGTCCCGCGCACTTCTAATGCGAGAACGCAAAGCCCCCCATGCTGCTCGCGCGCTTTGCGCGCTGAGCAATGCGATGCAGTTGCGACGGCCGCGCGTTCAATTTGAAACCGCAACGCAAGTTTCCATTCCCGCGCGCGGTGCGGTGCATGAACTTACAGATGCGCCGACGGTCGAGAATTCGCGCGCGCGCCCGCGCCTGCCATGTTGGGCGCGCGCACTGGACCCGGAAATCTGTGGCTCGGCCGCCCGATGCGCCCCAAAAGTCGCCCCGCCCCCCCCCCCGCCCCCCTCCCCCTCAAAACTCTTCCGCGCTCCTGGAAAAACCACGCCGCCGAGGCGGGAGCTCGGGCCGCGGCCTGATGGTCTCCGGGGCACAGGGGAATCAAAGGAATCAGTACGGAATCAGTACAGAATCAAAACAGAATCGGCACAACTGCGACCCCTGATTCTAGCGGAATCAAAAGAATCAGTACGGAATCAATACGGAATCAAAGGTGGAATCGGCGATGGAACCAGAATCGGCCAGAACGGCGAAGTAGGCCAGAATCGGTGCCAGAACTCATGCAGAGAGGCCTTTTTCCCGCGAGTTCACTGCGGCGGGTGCGCGGCGCGGGCGCGCCGCGCGACTTCGCTGGTTCAGCGAGGCGCGCAGTCGGCGTTCAGAGTGAACAGGTTCTTTTCAGGGCGATATCCTGGCGGCGCGCTGGCGCATTGCGCATTTGCGCATTCCTGGCGGGCTGTTTGAGGGCGACCCGGCAGCGTCGGCCGAATGGCCCGCAAATACCGCGCGGCCGATCGCGCGCCCCGTGCGGCCACGTCGACCGCCGTGTGCCGCGACGGCCGCGCGCCCCGGACCGCGCCATTGCCGCGTTGGATTGGACGGCGCAGCGCCCGTCCTCCAACAGTCGTCACGTGCATATCGCGCGTGTCGAGCCAGCAGCAGTCGCTCCCAGAAGCAGCCTCGACAGGCGCACCATGCCCTCTGTCGCCCGGTTCCGATCCAAATCATAGTTTCTTAGGATGCGCTTGCGCGAATGTGGGCGCGCGGGCAAGTAACGCGTGCGCGCGCTTGGCGCAGCCTGGGAAATCCAACATGGAGCCCCCCGGGGGCGCGGGGCGCCGGCGACGCCTCCGCCCGCCTCCCGCGCGCCCGACCCCCCCCGCAAGCCGACTCCTCCTAGCTCCACAGTCGGCGCTGCACCTCTCGAGACCACGGAGGCCATCGACACCGATGAGGCCAGGAACGCCCGCGTGGAAATGCTGGCCCCGGACGAGATGCACAAACTCACGTTCCCGACGGTCGCCGCGCGCGCCCCGGGCCGGGCCTGCGGGCCGGGGTCCGAGCTGGCAGTGGTCGAACGTGGCGCTGACATGATCACCGCCGAAGAGTTTCGAGAGCACGCCGCAGCCGTCGCTGCCGCTGTGCTCGATCGAGGAGCTGCAAATATGGATCGATCACAACTGCTCCTCTCAGCGTCGCAGTCGCACATCAGCGCCGCATGGCAGCGCCAACGTGCGGCCGCGTGCGGAAGTTCAGCACGCTGGTGAGATGGGCACAGGCCGCGCCCCGACGCACCCACCAGCCACCCATGCGTTACGCGCGCAAGCTCGAAATAAACAGCGCCGCAGCATATCGAAATGAACAGAAGGAGGGCGCCGACGCAGGGCGAGCCCTGCAAGGAGCCACCTTGCGCGCGGGCATCGGAGACACGGGGGCCCACCGTGCGCCCGTTGGCAAACGGCCGCGTAACTTTCTGGACTGGCAGCGCGGGGCGCTCAAAACATTTGCGCGAAGCACCTGCGCGAGTGAGCTGATGGCCGCGATCAGTTCAACAGATCATGGCCTCGCTCGAGCCGCCGCGCCCCATGATGAAGTCAGAAGGCCTCGTGGCCCCGAAGCGGCGCGTCGCCAGCGGGTCAACGGCCGCTCGCGCAGCAAATCGAGCTCTGCCTCGACTCGATGGGAGCGGTCGCGACCGTCGTTGCAACGAGACCCAAGCCTCCGGCATAACATGCACTGCTGCCGCGTGCGCCCTGGCCCTGCGACCTCCTGAGCTCGGGCCCATCATGGGGGCCGAGCTGGGAATATAGCCTGCGACGTGATCGCTGACGGACATAACCGAGGGCAGTATATGTATATATATATGTATATATATATATATAGATAGATAGATAGATAGAGAGAGAGAGAGAGAGAGAGAGAGAGAGAGAGAGAGATCTGCCCTTCATGACGCAGCTGGCGGCCTTCGTCGGCGGTCGCACGCGCCGCCCTTGCGTCGGCCGGCAAGCCCGGCGCGCCATCGGGGCGCGAGTGCCAGCCGACCTTCGACGACTAACTTGCCCCATCCCGCGTGCGGGGACTGCGCGCGCTCCATCCCCGCCGCTCGCGACGGCCCGCCCCCCCGTCGCGCTTCCGATGACGCCGCCGCCGCGGACAGCCGAGGAGGAGGAGGAGGAGAAGGAGGAGGAGGAGGAGGAGGAGGAGGAGGAGGCTTCCGATCGTCGCCCGCCCTCCCGTCGCGCTTCCGATGGTCGCGAAGTGTTTCGCCCGGCGCAGCTGTCTGACGAGATATGGCGCGCGGCATTGACGGCGCCTGTTCCACGCGGCCGCGCCCGGGCCCCAGGGCTTTCCCCAGGGCCGGTCGCGCCCGCCATCTCCGCGCAGACGCCGCGCGGCAGCCGCGTTTCGCACGCGGCTGATTCCGACCAGTGGGGCACCAGCGATATCGCCGACCCCGCCAAGCGCGCCACCTCCTCCAGAGGTGCCGGCCACGGCGCTGGCACTCTCGGAAGACTCGGCTTTTCGCCGAGTCCGACGAGGAGATCGTGAACTTCGGGCGCAATTTGCGTCGCGCGGATCCGGTGCCAGAACATGAAAGTTGTCGCGCCTCGTTCAGCGTCGTGGCGATGGACCCCGACCTCCGCGCAGAGTCTGCATTCGAAGCGCGGAGAATCCACGGCTGCACAAATTATCCGAGGCCCACGCGTGCAAACGTCTTGTTATCTATCGCGCTCGCGATGTTCACGACGGAGCTCCACCGCCTCTGGAGGTCGTGGAGCCTTCCATCAGCGAGACAAATGAACGCAGATGACCGCGGGGTCCTGGACGCCGATGACCGCGGGGCCCTGGCCTGGATTCGGTCAGGATCTGTCGGCCGAGCTCGACGGTGCATCGCTCGGCGCCCCCTCGTCCAAGAGCCGTCCGTCTGGCCATGAGCGGCCGGCGGGACTGTCGCCGCGCGCAGTGCAATCCCAATCCGCCTTCGGTCGAGCGCGCCCTGCGCATTCCTTGTCGACACCGCTCTGCAGAGGGTCAGCCTCTGTCGCCACCTGGCGAGGCCGTATGCGACGAGGCCAGCGCGGCCCGCGGTTCGAGCTGGAAGCCGACGTCGCTTTGCCCGTTGACTCCACGCCCGTTCTGGACAAAGACGGGGGGCACGACGCCCATCGTCTCCCGAGGGCACGCCGCGGTGATAGCCGGCCACGACAAGGGCAAGAGTAAGGACGGGGGCGAGCCCGCGCCGGACCACCCCGCCGAATTTCCCAAGTGGAAAAAACATAATCAGAAAAACAAGTCGAACGCCAGCGCGCTTCCGCGGCGCCGCAGCGCGGCTCGCGCCGACGAGCCACAGCAGCCGCCCTCGCCCAGGGGCAGTGCCGTGGCCGGCATGCCCAGCGAGGAGGTCGCCTACAGTGGTCGTGATCGGAGCGTGTCCCACGGATTCTGAGGCGATCGAGCCAAAATCGTGAGCACATCCGTCAAGGTCTACCATTCATTATTCTCTCCCACCTACCAGGTCAAGGCACGAAAACCTCCACTTCGCTACTCACGTGACCCCAGTGCCATTACCTTGCCTGGGTCCCAGGACGCGCCTTCAGACATGTCTGCGGCCCGAGATCACCAGTTCTCTTCTCCGCCAGAGCTGTTCGGTCGCCCGCGCAACCCCGATTCCATGATAGGAGAGGTCGCTGCTGTGTGGCCCGAGCGTCGACGCATATTTTTTAGTGCATGGTGAACAAAAGCCCCACAATCTACATTTTGTTGCCGCCATGTTTTCTCTCGTACAGCTTCCAACCCTCACGATTTCCCCCTCATCCTCCTCGTCCTCCCCCGCCTCCTCTTCCTCCTCTCCTCCCCCTCTTCCTCCTCCGCCTCTTCCTCGTCATCCCCCCCCTCCCGTTTCCTCTTCCGTCCGCCGTTTTCTCCTCCTCCCGCCCCTCCTCCCCCTACGTTTCCTCCTTATTTTCTTCCTGCTCCTCATTTTCCTCCTCGTCGTCCTCCTCCTCCTCCTCTTCCTCCTCCTCCTCTTTTTCCTCCTCCTCGTCCTCCTTCTTCTCCTCCTCCTCCTCCTCTTCCTCCTCCTCCTCTTTCTCCTCCTCCTCCTCTTTTTCCTCCTCCTCGTCCTCCTCTTCCTCCTGTTGCTTCTGCCGGCGCTCCGCCGGCGGAAAAGGCCGACGGAGGCCGGCTCCGCTGGCGGAAAGGTTGGCGGAGAGGTTGGCGGACGGTCGGCGGAAGACGGTGGAGGCAGAATCCGGGCCTCTGAAACTCAGGAGGGGAAAAAACACAGACACAATTAATCGTCGATTTCCAGAAAATATTTGAAAATATGGGAAGTGGGGGGGAAGACAAAAGCCCAGAAAATATAGGAAAATATGGGGAATCATTTTATTTGTGTGTATTTATTTGTGTGTCCCCTTCAGAAACCGAGGTCAGTGCAAACAGGGGACAGCCAGAGCGCCGGATCTTGCAGGATCCTGCAGAGCCAGGGCTGCAGTGACCCAGGCGTAGGGCGCAGGATCCTGCACGAGATATGCAGGATCCCGCAGAGCCTGACTGTTCCGAGTGGGCGGAGGCAAAGTGAGGGCGGGTTCGCTTGAGGACGCCAGCGGAAGGCCAGCGGAAGCCGACAGAGGTGGAAAATGCGCCCCCCTGGGGTGTCATTTGGTGTTTTTCAGAACTTGCCAGGCGGAGTGATCGTCGCAGTGTGTTACTCTACGCTCGGAGCAGGGCTGATGGCACTGATCACTAATTTTCTAAAGCAGCCGATCTTGATTGGATACATTCTGGGCGGTGTCCTGGTGGGGCCCAATTGCCTGGCCCTGGTCGACGACTATCTTGAAATATTGACCATTATGGACCTGGGCCTGGTGCTTCTGAAGTTCATGATTGGCCTCGATGTCGATCTGCACGCTCTGATCAAGATGAACAACATGACTTGCTTCACAGGGTCCCTTCAAGCTCCTATCTGCGCGGGCATTCATCTGCTGGCTTTCTGGCTGCTAAGTTTTTATGTCAGTTTCGGCCAGGGCAAGTGGAGCTTGTGCTACCTCGCCTTCGCTTGTAGCGTTTCCTCCACCATGATTGTATTGAAATCGCTGTCGCATAAGATGGAGACAGACACCGAGGCGGGGCAATTTACCATAGGGGTTCTCATTTTCCAAGATTTGTGGGTGCTACTGATGATTGCAAGTCAGAGCAATATCGAGAACGCAAGTTTCCTCGACATCATGAAGGATTTTGGCTTCATGTGCGTGCTGATAAACGTCTCGCTCTTGTACGCCAAGTACGTCATGCCGCCGATATTCAAAAAAGCATCCGGATCCGCAGAGCTCATGTTGGTGCTGTCGCTCGCATGGTGTTTCTTTCCTTGTTGTGGAGCAGTGCTTCCATTCATCAATATCTCCATCGAGGTGGCAGCGTTCATCGCTGGTGTCTCGATGGCAACTTTCCCGTTCAACGCAGAACTCAATTCGAAGATCAAGTACATCCGGGACTATTTCATCACGCTGTATTTCGTCGGGGTGGGGATGCAAATGGATTTACCATCTAGCGAGATGATCGTTTGCATCATCTATATTACTATAGTGGTGCTTCTTACGCGCTGGGTTGGTATATTCTTCGTTGCACTTGTCCAAGGCTCTGGGCCCCGCCTGGCCATCTTGGCCACGCTGAACCTCTCCCAAATCAGTGAGTCTGGCCTCGTGCTCTGCACATTAGGACTGAAGCTCGGGCATATCGACAACGAGACAATGTCGATCGCGGTTTGGGTATTTGCTCTTCTTGCGGGCGCTGCCTCGTACATTATCGGTTACAACCACAGTTTGTACCACGCCATCATGCACAAGCTTCGGCGCCTGCCGAAAGGCAGCCGCGTGAGGCGTGCCTTCGGCCTTGACGACATTCAGATCGAAGACGACGAGGATGCGGAGGAGCGCGACATCGTTTTCCTTGGTTTCCATAAGATTGCAGCTGCGCTCATCGCCGAGTTTGAGCACAAGGCACCGCAGATCATGCGCAAACTTCTTGTTCTCGACCACAAGGCTGGCTTGAAGGCGCCTTTGCGCCTGAAGGACATCGCCTTCTCAGCTTGCGACGTCACCTCGGCGGACGCGCTGAGGGCATCTGTGAAGCAGCGAGTCGACCTGGTGCTGATTACTATTCCCGACTACACGATCACTGGCGTCTCGAACGAGCAGTTGTTGATGACAGCCCGCCAGGTGTGGCCCGAGTGCCACATCATCGTCATCGCAGACGAGCCCAAGCAAATACGTCGACTTTACGCCAAGGGCGCAAACTATGTCCTGGCCGTGAAGAAACTGAGCGCCGAGCGGATCGCCGGCATGCTGACAGAGCACTACACCGACGGCACTGGAGGCGAGCTGAAACACCACCTGGAGTCCCACCGCCGCCGCGAGTCCGAGTGGGGCGCGAAGCTCATCGACCCGAACTTTGGACCGGAGGCCTATCTGGGAGCCTGAGGCGGAGGGGTGCCGAAGCGTGCACTGCGGCATGCCCGCGGTGTTCTGCACGTCCACGGTCCTCACCACCCACCAAACCACCCCAACCCAACCCGAAGGCTCAGGTTTACCCTCGATTTCTAGTGGGGGGGGGGTCCGGGAACATCGACAAAACAAACATGGAGCCCATACCCCCCCCAACCCGAATATTCGGGTCTTCGGGTTGGGTTGGGGTGGTCTGGTAGGTAGTCAGGTCCGGCCAGCCGGTTCAGGCCAACGGGTACGGGCAGAATGGTGACGAGCACCGACAGCAATTTCGGGAGACTCTCCATGGGGGGGGATCCCATGGGGGGGCAGGAGGGGATCCCCCCCATGGGATCCCCTCCTGCCCCCCCATCGGATCCCCAGGGGATCCTATGGGATCCCCCCCCTGGGATCCTATCCCCCCATGGGATCCCCCCCCGTGAAGAGTCTCCCGACAATTCTGGCGCATCTTCAGCAGGAGTCGTTGTCGGCGTCGCGGCGGGCGCTCTCCCGCTGAGACAGCAAGATGCGGCCCCCAAAGCGGCCGCCGTCGGATTTGGACAGCATCTGCAGTCGGGCATTTTGCTAAGCTGTTCCGTACCCATTTCGGGCGTGCCAGTGGGTGTTCACAAGGTTTGTCCACTGAGATTTGTGGGGGTCTCGTGGAGGGGTTGGGTAAATTGTGCTTGAGCAAGAACTGACAGAGCGTTGCCGTACTCGCCTTAGTATCGCCGCAGTTTTCCCGCGCGGCCAGGTCGGCCTGCGCACCTGTAGAGGCACAGCTACATCACCCCAGGATGGGGTCTGCCAGATGTGCGCATGTTATGAGCACCTCTGCTCAGGCAATTCTTCGGCTCGCTTCCTCCGGTGCGCTCCGACTGCCTCCAGAAGCGGTTAGAAATAGACCGTTGTGACCAAAGTGACAGCGACAATACGCAACGCACATTGTTCGAAGGCCTGTCGCAGGCCATGAACCACGTTTCAGTCATAATCCTCTTGCTGACGCCGTATGATTTATGCAGCAGTGACTGGCTACTAGAACAGAAGTGCGTGAAGCCCGCCCGCGCGTTCTTCAAGCTCGCTGAGTGCAGGATGACCTCATATGTTTCAGATGAGCTCCATTCGTGCTTTACTCCAAACGAGTCGTGTGCTCCCACCAGTCCATCGAGCGATGTTTCGGTCATGTGGTGCGGCTTAACTGTGTGTGCTGTGGGGGGTATTGTCACTTGTGCCAGTCTGGTCGGAATCCGCCTCCCCGCCTGCCGCCTCTTCCTCTTCCTCCACCGCACGCTCTTGCGCTCTTTGCGCAGTGACGCCGAGCCGGTGCCACATCAGTGACCGTGGTGCAGAATTGTGGACATGTGTGTGACTCACACTCCCCTCTGGTTTGGGCAGTTCTAGCTTCTCCCGCTTTGGCTTGTTCTTCACCGTGGTGGTCTGGTCTGGTCTGGTCGGTACCTGTGGTCCAGTGGGGCGACCTGCCGGAGCATTGTGGAAATTGCTGTGATATGGTCTGGTCCGCTGTGGTCGTGTATGGAAGCCGCGAGCAGGAGGAAGGGGAGTGGGATGCAGGGGACGAGACCCGCACCATGTTGGAAGTAGTGATGCACCATTTCGTGAGCCTCACGGGGGTCGTTGTTCTGGAGGCTCTCGCCAGCGATGTGGGCCCTCTTCAGAGCCTGTAGACGGCCCAAGAGGGCCCCAAGACAGCCCAACAGGGCCCCCAGACCGCCCCAGAACAGCCTCAAGAGGCCTCCAAGGTTGCCCAGAGGGACCAAGACGGCCCCCCCCAAGACGGCCCGGGATGCCCCCAAGACGGTTTGAAGACCGCTTCAGGAGACCCCGGGGAGAGGGCCCACTCGGGGCATTGCATGAGTACGGCGAAGGTCAGAACATCAATGCATGTAGTGGTCTTCGGCCCATCCCGCCACCGTGCCTGGGTTGTGGGTACAGTGGAGACCCATGCCAAGGAACACCCTGCTTGCCTCCAGGGTGCCCTGGGTTCCTTGGGTTTCGATGGTGTTGCCGTGGAAAGCGCGACGCTCCCACGCCAGAGATCGAGGGACCTCCTGGGGTCTCAGGGTTGGGCTTCTTGCGGGAGGCTTCTCGTGGTCGGGCCCCTCCTGGATGAGGCCTGTGATCGTTGGGATCGTTGGGATCTCGTGATGGGAGGATCGTGGATGGAGGATCGTTGGGATCTCGTGGATGGGATCTCGTGGTTGGGTTTCTTGTTGGAGGATCGTTGGGATCTCGTGATGGGGGCCTCTCCTGGGGCCTCTCCGGGGGCCTCGTTGGCGCCTTTTTGGGGCCTCCGGGGGGGGGGGGCCTGTCGGGCGGAGGGCTCGGATGTTCGGCTCTCCGGGGGCCACGCCGGGGGCCGTTCGGCTCGGGCTCCCCCTCTGGGGGCCATGCCGGGGGCCGCCGTGGAGCCCTCGGCGGGCCGTCTCGGGCGCCATTTTTGGGGCCGTCTCGGGGCGCTCCGGGGGGCCGTCTTGCGGCCCTCTTGGAGGCCTCTTGGGCCGTTTCGGGGTGGTCGTGGGGGCCTCTGGGGGCGTCTTGGAGCGTCGGAACTCGAAGAGGCGAGGACGCCCCCATCCTGCAAGCATCACAAGGGGAATCATGATTTTTGCCTCTTGGGGCCCTCTTGGGATCCCTCTTCGAGACCTCCGTGGCTGTCTTCGGGCGATCTTGAGCGTCTTCGAGCGATCTTGGGGCGACTTGGGGCTTTCTTTGACAATTTTGATGGTGACGATGCTGATGATGATGACGATGGTGATGATGATGGTGGTGATGATGACGCTGATGATGATGATGATGATGATGATGATGATGATGATGATGATGACGATGGTGATGATGGTGATGATGGTGATGAGGATGATGATGTTCTTGATGATCATGATTCTGATGAGGATGGTGATTATCATGATGATCCTGCCCCCTCTCCAGGCAGCTCAAGATGGCCCCCAGACGGCATCGAAAGGCCCGCAACAGGACGGGTCAAAATGTGTACAATATGATTAGAACTACGATATTGATGCCCACTGTTGCGATGAGAAGGGTAATTCCGATAATGATGATGCTGATGATGATAATGTTGCTGATGACTATGGTGATGATGTTCATGATGCTATTGATGATTTTGTTTCTGATGCGGATGCTGCTGATGATGATGCTGATGATGATGATGATGATGATGATGATGATGCTGATAATGGCGACTCTGACGCTGATGCTGATGTTGATGCTGATGCTGATGCTGATGCTAATGTTTCTGATGAGGAGACAACTGATGGTGGTGGTGATGTTGATGGTGAGGACGATGATGGTCATGGCGATGCTGCTGATTATGCTGATGTCTATGATAATGCCGATGTGGATTATGAGCATGGTGGCGATGATTGCGATACAGTCCATGGTTTTCATGATGCTGTTGATGCTTATGATGATGCTGATGCTGATGATGCTGATGATGCTGATGATGATGGACATGATGATGATGCTGATGATGAAAATGATGGTGCTGATGATATTAGTGAGGACGGCGTCAACGGTGAAGACGGTGATGGTGACGATGCTGAGGATGCGGATGCGGATGATAATGGTGACGGTGACGATGATGGTGACGATCATCGTCGTAATCATCATCATCATCATCAGCATCATCATCATCATCATCATCATCATCATCATCATCATGACCATGTTAATGCTTCTGACTCCTTCTCCTCAATCCTGCGGCCGCCTCCGGAGCTGCAGGCGGGCCCCAAACCTTGCCCGAGCGAGCCCCGAGAAGAGCCTCTGAGGCCACCGAGACAGTTCCACGAGCCTTAAGTCGGGCCTGTCCTTCTCTACAGGAGGGATATCCGAAAATCGGCAGAACATAGTTTGGGGACGACTTTCCGATTATTCCCCATATCCTAAGGATTGGGGTTCTTGTTATTACTCTGACGCCTCCCACTCCTCCTCCTCCTTCTTCCTCCCGCCCGCGCCTCCCTCCTCCCAATGATAATCACCAGATAAGACAAGACAAGATAAGATACTACAAGATAAGATAAGATATCACAAGATATGATAAGAAGAGATTTCAAGATAAGATAAGATAAGTTAAGCTCACACTCACACTCTCTCATGATCACAAAACGCTGCCAGGGGCATCATTTGGGAGCCCCAAGGGGGAGCCACCCTGGCTGATCTCACGAGCCCGTTCGCGCCGATTTTGGTGGGACGTCTCAGCTAGAATTGCCGTTTGGCGCCCCCAACATGTATCTCTTGAGAGCCTCATGGTCACAAAACGCTGCCAGGGGCATCATTTGGGAGCCCCAAGGGGGAGCCACCCTGGCTGATCTCACGAGCCCGTTCGCGCCGATTTTGGTGGGACGTCTCAGCTAGAATTGCCGTTTGGCCTCCCCAACATGTATCTCTTGAGAGCCTCATGGTCACAAAACGCTGCCAGGGGCATCATTTGGGAGCCCCAAGGGGGAGCCACCCTGGCTGATCTCACGAGCCCGTTCGCGCCGATTTTGGTGGGACGTCTCAGCTAGAATTGCCGTTTGGCGCCCCCAACATGTATCTCTTGAGAGCCTCATGGTCACAAAACGCTGCCAGGGGCATCATTTGGGAGCCCCAAGGGGGAGCCACCCTGGCTGATCTCACGAGCCCGTTCGCGCCGATTTTGGTGGGACGTCTCAGCTAGAATTGCCGTTTGGCGCCCCCAACATGTATCTCTTGAGAGCCTCATGGTCGCAAAACGCTGCCAGGGGCATCATTTGGGAGCCCCAAGGGGGAGCCACCCTGGCTGATCTCACGAGCCCGTTCGCGCCGATTTTGGTGGGACGCCTCAGCTAGAATTGCCGTTTGGCTCCCCAACATGTATCTCTCTTGCCGCCGCCTCCCCAACATGTATCTCTTGAGAGCCTCATGGTCACAAAACGCTGCCAGGGGCATCATTTGGGAGCCCCAAGGGGGAGCCACCCTGGCTGATCTCACGAGCCCGT